AAGCGATACATTGAGATTAAACTATATGTATAAGCTAACGGGCATCATGGAAGTGATGTCACGATACAATAAACTTCCGGATGTGACGTTACCAATATAAATGCAGTGAATCAATAATGATAGCATACAATATTAATACTATCATCAAAAGATAGAATAAAATGTGAGTAAATAATGGTTATTTAATCGTATACGAGTACGTCCGGTACAATATATTAATGCTGTTCTTTATGCTGTACTTTAACTAACGTGATTTATTTAATCAATATACAAGATACAAGAAACTTTATTTAACGTCGCATACAGATAAACAATGAACATTAGCTCTTGAGAGCTATTATTGCGACAAACATATGTAAAAATAACAATAAGATATTATATTACAAGTAAATGGAGATAATCACATATGTTAATAATAAAACAGTAATAATCATCACAGAAAAAGAAAGTATACATATCCCAGGTTTCTAAGTGATTGGGAGTGGTAATTTAAATGATAAAAAATTTGAAAGGACCTGGAACAAAAACTTGGAGAGTTAATGCGTTACTGTCAAGACTAATGGAATATAGTCGTACAGAAATAGATACATGTAGCGGTATCTGACGCGCGTTCGATACGTTTTGAAGCAGTGTCTCAGACTAACGCCTCGAAGACAGCATAAGGCAAATAAGACATTTGTAAATAGGCATTCAAACCAGACAGATTGATATGAATCCCACGATCATGAAAAAAAATATCATTTGGAACCAAAACGAATGATATAGAAATAAACGAAATTTCTATATATAAAACTGAATGTAATTCCATGTATGCCTGTCCTGATTCCGTCCCTCTATAACCGACACGTTTGACGTATATGTTCACTATGATGAATATTGTTTATGATTGAATGGTTAATGTAACATCGTGACCATTGCACTGGCACTCATCAAACATGGAAGTGCTTGAAGACATTTGCTGTTCGCCATTTAATTGGGACGCGTTCGTATACAACACTAGCTACAAAATATGGAGGCGTGTTCGATTAAGACAAATATCTTTATCTTCGCCACATTTATATGATGTAAGATGTCTGCCGTCATTTGTCTGACAATACACGGTTTATATATGATACATATATGTTTTCACTTGCTAATACGTGTGAACGCCGCACATTCCCATTGGTACAGCCCATCCGACCTAACCGGCGAGTAGACGAATTGTCAACAGACACTCATTATTAATAACAAAGCAAACATTTTGAACCTTTTATCAGTAACAGACATAAAACACAAACACAATTCATCTAAAATTATTGTGTAATCAGCGAGTTTGCATAGTCCGATTAATCATTGACTAATGTCTACACACTTAAAACGCCGCACACGTAGGATTTTAAATATTGATATCACGGTTTTGTCAACAACGATGATTGCAAAAAGTAATTGTCCACAGTTGATCAATTTAACCTATATCAAAATACTTTCGACAAAACGAATCAATTACCACCGCTGATATGATTCGATATTTGTAATGTACACGAGTTTGTCGCCTCCGCCACGCAGTTGAAAACAAGTTTAGGGCAGAATCTGTTGATACAACCAAATGTATTTCTTTCTTTTGGTTGTAAATAACGAAGTTTGTATGAATGGATATTTGGCCGAATTGTGTAATATCAATATCTTACTAATGAAGTAAAAACTTCATTATATAACTTTAACCTTCAAAACGTAGCAGTTATTTGAATGCAATTTAGTACGTCTTCAGAAGTACATTTGAAGTTTGTTTGTTTGTTTGTGATTTTGGGCCATGGCCATTTTAAGTACAAGGCTTTGAAAAGCACTGCTTTATACAGTCAACGATAATACATATATAGTTCGTAAAGCGATGTGTTCGATTACCCTAAAGGGCATGTCACACCTAGCCGATTTGGATCGCCGGAGCTATACCGGAGCACAAATTTGGCGATTTTCGGGGATCGATACTAGTACGGCAGCGCAACGGTATCACACCGCTTAGAACGGTGGTACATCGTCAGGACCTAGTCAATACCTCGGCGAAATATAGAGCAACGGCAGACGACGCTAGACATTTTTGACCATGCTCAAAAATGTCCGCCATTGCGCTGCCGGAGCGAGCAACAGGACTACAACGATAATTGATTGGCAGTACTCCGCGGCCGGTAGGGCTTCGTTAATGTCGGTAGATCACCGGTAGCGCCCCGTAATGGATCGGCGGTTCTCCGGTGGCCTCAATGTGTACCGTACTGGTACCGATGTGATACCGTAGTACTACCGAATATCACCGAAGTAGAAATGATGCTACCGTAACATCGGCAGCTCAACGGCATCACTCCGCTATAGCTCCGGTCAACGATGGCACATCGGTAGAACAACGGCGGCGCCTCGGTATAACATCGGCGGCGCCTCGGTAACACTGAGGTGTCAGAAAAGTGGTATTCGGTAGCACATCGGCTCTTACATCGATGGAACAACGGTATCACAACGGGATTGCCGGAACTACATCGGTATTGCTACGGTCAATTTAGATTTTTCAAGTTCTTTCTCGCCGGAGCTGTGCCGATTTTCTCGCCGTTGTTGTTTTTTTTTGCTCCGGTTTAGTCTGGCAAGGTACATCGTTAGTGTTTTACAGGTCATTAAAGGGACCAAATACAGAAATATTTGTAGGCATCAGGCATTTTTGGAAAAGCACTTGCAAGATATCTACGACCAGCTACTGTTCACTAGAACTTAGAAGAAGTAATGTTGAGCTACCGATCGAATGTGGCAGATGAAATATTATATCTAGATAAGGTCGTTTTTATGACAGAATGGAAGCTAAGATGAATTATCATTATTTAATTGTCGCGACCAACACACACTGAATAGCTAGAGAAACAATTTCTAGCAGATGTTTGAAAGATCTACCTATAAAAAGTTCGATATCGTACGTAAAATCAAACTCAAAACTAAAATTGACAACGCACAATTAAGATAGTTCAGGCAAAATTATCCTGATTGACATTTAGAATAAGATAATCCTATATACTACAAAATATTTGTACTAAAGATAATGGTTCCATTACTGAAGTACCTCTTCTGTCATACGTAATCCAAACCCTCGTGGTCGTTAGGCGTTTTATCTTGATAATCCGAAGGAAAGGGACTCAATCGTATATGTATTCGTCCTATTTTAACCAATAGTTCGTCAGCTCAGCTTCAAGAATCTTAATTGTCTACAATCAATATCCATTATACCAAGTCAGAATTGTATTACATTATATAAACTGGCATCCGTATTGGTCATAATTTTGTTTTAATCTCTGAGCGATCACTTTATCATAACTTTGATCTTTTGCGTTTTAAACAATAATAATGGGGGGGGGGGGGGGGGGGGGGGGGGGCATTCGCAGTGTCGGCTTTTATGCTATAAATTTAATTAGGGGATAGAACGTTGTTTTGAGAGGCTATACTGGCGATTAGAACATGAAATTTGGTTTTGAACTCGAGACCGATAGGTCGAGAACATGGAATTTGGGTTTGAACTCAAGACCGATAGGTCGAGAGTTTAAACCAAATTTCATGTTCTCATCGCCAGTATAGACACGAAAATCAACGTACTATCCCCATTCTAACACACCTTAATAAATATACTACGCTAATATGTTTAGAAACATTGTATTTCCTTGTATAAAAGTACTTTGAGACCTGAACTGGCGACGTGTCATTCTGCAGCGGACTGACCAATCGGAAAGAAGCTTTCAAAAGTCGGTCATTTAGCCCCGCCCATACTGGCGAGAGCTCGATCTGTATGTTCGTGAACGTCCTGTTACCAAAGTTTATACGACACATTGGGATTAATATTGAACAAGTTCTTACATTTCCATGGTCCGTAACCAATCAAAACACGCGTTGCAAACGAATCGTGTTAGAATGTGAAATATACACCATTTGGCTTACACCTTTCTAAAAATTCTTTCTGAGATTGGCAAGTATAAGTACGCTGGTTTTTGCTGGCGTTTTTACCTAAGGATGATAAACCATTCAGTGTTGAATAAGTCTGCCCGTATTGTGTATACCCTCCGCTATCAGCATACTTATTTGTAGACCAGACACCAGCTTGATCTCCTCAGTACACTGTAAAGAACGACAACTCTCGCCATGACAGGAGCATGAATAACCAGCAGTACATATTCTACACAGATTCCGGAAACCCATTGTGATCATTGGCTCTATGTAGCTCGACCAAGTCCAAAGGACATTCATATATGGATTGAAAACGAGTGTTTTCAACATTATTGTATGAACTCAAATCGGTTACATCCATATTTGATGAAGCCCTCTAGCGCTTCACGTAACAGGTGTATGTTACTTATATGCAATATGTATTTTATATTTACAGTTATTAGCAATCAAAAAGTCCTTAAATTAGCGCTATCTGTGTATGTGTATCGCTGGAGCCAGCGACAATCCTGGAGCAGCCTAAAGCCGATGTCGAAATAGTATGCGAGACCAGTAAAGAGTAAAAAGACACTGATCCAATTGCGTTGATAATCCTATACAATTTCTTCTGAGAGTGTTAATAAAGGGACTTGCAATCAATATAATTAAAATTCGATCTTTGCATCGCTCCTGTTTACTGATATGACGCCGCGATTGACTTGAAACAGAAATATGAAATACTCAAGCATTGAAATGTATTCCGTTGCCATTCACAGTCAATATGAACGCCAGCTGAAAATGACCAATTGCATGAAGCACGCTAGCTAAGTGATGTCAATTACAGAAACCCACTTTTAGATGACGTAATAACGTATCATTGTAATATGGATGAAGGAGAAAAGGAACCCCCTTTCAGCGTAATAACTTGTCATCATGAGAAGGGTTTGTATAACCCCCGTTTTGATGACGTACTCACCTATCGGTGATAGAGAACAGTAACCCCCGTTTTGATGACGTACTCACCTATCGATGTTATCGGTGATAGAGAACAGTAACCCCCGTTTTGATGACGTACTCACCGATCGTTGTTATGACAGTGATAGAATAGAGAAGTGCCCCCGCGAATGACCACTGCACCTCCCCTTCGCCGTCTTTGCCATCCCAACCATTCTCCTTCGTGGCCTTGTAGATAAGAGTCTGGAAGTCCCTGAGGATATCGTCCGCGGCCACGGTCCAATTAGCCGTGTGAAACACGTTATAGAGGAACGTAATGTTCCAGAGCCTGTCAACCTGTACCTTCCGGTTTGCCGCTACATTAGCACGTGCTGTCTTTTCATAGGGAGCTTCCAGCTCCTTGAAAATGAATCCCCCGAGAATTGAATAGGCGACAACGAGAGAACACATTCCTATGTGGGAGAAGAGAAATGCGACGAACTGCTTACAACATTTTATGCAACGTTTGCCTCGGCGATTTTGAGATTTGGCACGAGTCTGAGGCTTTTTGTTGAGTGCCTTTGAATGTGGTGAAGATTTCGGATACACTTCGTGATTTTTGTGTTTTCTTGCTTTTCCGCAAAAACAACATGCGCAGCAACCTGACTTCCGGCCTGGAGGGACGTTGTAAGGATCATCGCCTTCACTACAGTGCCCGTTTTCAGCAGCTGTGAAGGAGACATTTTCTTGGTGTATGTCATCGTCTCGTCTGCTGCTTACTCGACTCACCCTACTCACGTTCAGATGTATGTCGTCTTCGCCGTCATGAACAATTTCAGTGTCGGCCTTGGAAAGTATCCTTTCGATCTCCTCGTCACTTCCGGTATCATAATCTGACATATGTTCCTTGATACTTCCAGATTCCATAATGACACAATTGTTTGATCTTATTTCACCTTCTAACTAGACTTGTTTGCACTGTATCCCGACATCAGAAGGTATATCTTGACTGATGTATCGGACTGACATCGGCTGGCAGGACACCTCCGCTGCTCGTTGCGTCTTTCACGGCCATTTTTATCGTGTCCATCGTGACCTCTGACCCCGGATCTTGTGGAGTGGCTTCCCTCTGTCGTTATAACATACCATCATGTCCTGTAAAAAAAAAAGCGTCTGATATAGTATATAACATCAAAGTCCTTATATATATATATTCAAGTCCTTGTGATGGTTAAATATAAAAAACAAAAGACAAAAAAATCTTGGACTTCCCTAGCGCTTTCTCCTCTGTAGAGGGGTTTATCAGAGGGTTCCTCTGATGAATCTCTAAAGAGGAGAAAGCGCTAGGGAAGTCGAAGAAACTCTTGTCTTTTTATATATATATATATATATATATATATATATATATATAGATAGATACAGATAAGTTACAACCTTTCTCGATCTGCATTGGTAAACATATTTTTTTGGATAAAACCAATCAAAACAACTCAGCATATACATGTACCTGATAAACAATTCCCTACCTGGATAAGTGAAGTTAAAACCTATGACGATCTCCCAAACCTGTGACGTAATTATATCTCTGTGTATATAAAACAAAGCGCCTTTATCGGAGAGAGAGGGGTGGAACGGTTTATAATTCAATATGTACAGTCTAACTGTTACAATAATATTCACTCATAGACCTTCTAACGTCAACTAGAGCATATTACCTCATAACATAGTTCCTCATGAAGAACAAAATCATACACTTGGGAAGATATAACTCCGCGGCTACTTCTATGGTATTTTCTGAATGGGACTACATTAAGAAAGTCTCCCTATATCTAGATTACCAAAATAATGAAATATAAAGTAATTGTATTATTTTTTGTCTGAAAAATCATATATACGATTCTTTATAAACACTGCATTTTTAAAATAATACCTTATGAAAAACGATCCTGTCGTTTTTAAAGTATGATTGGTTTACAGCTTGTGTGTCCCACGGTACCAAGCTCTGTCCGAGTGCCAGCACTGAAGGTATTACTCACTCTAGTGAATTATGTACGTGCGTTTCGTTTTATAAAAAAAAATATACCAACACGTCTGACCCAATAACAAGTGACGTCATTTAGATGTGGATGTTCCGGTCATCGCGTGAGGTAGGGCCCCGTCAATTGCTGCGAAGGTGTTTTCGAGAGAGTTCCAAGTTACAATGTTAATCTGTATCTGGTACTTGATCGTTAAATTTCTGACAAGATTCAGTGCTAAGATTCCACCTGATGTCACGAAATTGTTTAAATAACCCGAAGATGTGTGTTCTAGTTAGCAAGTTTATCTCGGTGTTTAATCTGTAAACACGTAATATCCGGGATAGAATTACGGCACGCGACATGTTATTAACACCACCTCGAGCACGCGAGTACGATCGACATTCTAGCTGAAACACGAAGATGTGGAGTTCGTGTATAGTTTCGTGGTAGATATATGTATAGTTAGTGTAACAGAGGTTATTATTTTGTCAATGCCTCCGCTAGGAGTTGAACCCGGGACCTCTGGTTTACTTATGTTACGTCCTACTGAATGAGCTGAAGAGCAATTCTCCCTAGCCGAGACGGTAGGAAGCGGCTAGTATTTTACCAGGGTGACATACTCCCTTTCCATGGGTCATAGCGATTCCTTTGCAAGTATCGCTGAGTATTTTTGTCAAATCCCCCGGGTCCCTATATATATGTGGGCGCCAATGTAATAGAGTTTATTATTTGTTCAATGCCTCCGCTAGTTGTCGAACCCGGGACCTCTGGTAGGAAGCGGCAAGTAGTTTACCAGGGTGACATTACTATTGTCAACGCGCTAATGATCTGTTCGACTGCTGAGTTCACGTGCTGTCGCGAAGTAATGGCAGCAGTCACCTCAGGAAACGAAGAGTCTACGTCATTTATTGCGAAATATTCAGCTTCGAACACATAAAATGTGTCGCTGTGAAGCTACCTTATTAAATTGACGACAGTAGCTGGACTGGGACGTCCATGTTCCCAGTGTACTGTGCCGTCTGACTGTGAAATATACTTGTGGTATATGGGCGCCTCGGTAGTGGCCGTATATCTGGTACAGTGTGTTTATATACGACGCATTTCACATAAAGTACAATTATCTTCCCCGATCATAAAAACAAAAGTATGAAATGTTGTGTCTACAGCGAGAAGATATTTATTTAATTATTTCGTGTCAATGAATTTCCATCGCTTGCATCTACATGTTTTTTGGGGAAGGCAACTTAACATAAACAAATATTCCTGACAAACCAGCCACCGATATTTTCAGTACTTGTGCAGATAGACGGTTTGCAACGAAATAAAAGAAAACAAAATAGGATGAATTTCATAATAAATCAAAATTTCTTGTCTATTAAGATACATCATCAACTATTTAACGCGAACGCTCTACAACAGCTGACGACCTCCTCGATGACGAGAAGGCAGATAGCGGAAGGGGCATGCGAATGATACTTCCGGGGATACTTGGGCGAGAAAACACGGCAGACTCTGTCGACACAGGTGTCCCAAGCAACCGAGTTCACTAGAATCATCGCTAGAATGTGACGTCAATAATCAAAGCCGTGAGTAAATCTCACTGTGGTGACATAATCTAAATTGACAACAGCAACATTTTGCAATGGCCATTACATACTTAAATAAAACTCCCATTTCACCTCGATAAAACAATCCTTGCAGCAGACACCGAAGATTGTGTTTTATTGCATTGACGACTATCGCCATGTTTATTGGTGTTGTGGTGTGGGAGGTAGGAAAAAATCACAAGTAATCAAACTTATCTCGTCAGAATGCACCATTCGATGTTTAATATATATCAAGTTACTTATATATAGCATATAAATACACAAAATGGCACGTCTCCAAACCGGTGAAGAGGGATACCAAACACATTGTCAGTGATCTAAACACACAAAACATCAGTGATCGCCGTACCCTAAGCGGCCCTCGTTTACTTTTATCCTTACACCGTGTTCTGTAGATATCATTTACGTTTTCTCCGTATATCACCTGATACGCTTGTGATTCGCTAAACAGGTGGCAACAAAGTGTACAGGATATACAACTCTGTGTGTTTATTAAAATTTAACATTTGGTGATGTTGTTAGTTTAATGAGAAATGATATAATTCATTTTTATTCAAATTATATTGGTAGATTTCATACCTCCCATTAAAACATTCCTGAGCTGTGTGTTGTTTTACCAGTTCATGGCTCACATTAATGCACCATTATTAAAAGCTGTTTATCAAATTGTTCGCGGGTTCATACAGTGTGCTATTGGCTTCTTTTCATATTCGTGGGATTTTGAGGATCGTCGTCAATACAAATATTATTACGGCATGCAGAGGGCTTTTCATAACGTTGGATAGTTACTTTACATTAACGTTACCTTAACGAGCAGTCCAATTAGAGGCTAACAGAGTAGACTTCGACGTTGAATGAAGTGAGACATCAAAAATATCCTTGTTGACATCTAATCAGTGACTTTAATAGTATCAAGCGCAAAATTGAAGCGGTCATAAGTTATAGTTTTCATATATATGCGAGATAAATATATGTCGAGTAGCGCAATACAACATAATGATGCGGACAGGGCATTTCGTTTGGTTTCTATTCATCTGCAGAGCAGAGCAGATTATAAAGCTTTTGATCTATTCTTGACTTAACAGTTTGTTAGACTCGTTACCCCTCTCGACTCGTAACCCCTATCGAGCCTCTTCTGTCTGTCCTATACATTTGAACCCTACAGACCTTCAGCTTATGGGAGAACTTCAAATTATCTTTAGAGTACACTGCACTTATAAGACGATTTATTTCGTATTCGTTCAATTAATCGTTTCCCTTTTAATTAACCTAACGTAATTTCTGCTTTCAGTTTCCAGTATTAAAACGTTAACCTAGTCCGCTAACAAACACAACATACTTATAACTACCAATTTCCTATATAAATACGTTTAGTTTATCTTAATGATAACAATACTTGCGTGTTTTCACTTCAGTTTTCAATATGTTACAGATTCAGCTAAGCGCAACTACTGGCAAATGGCCTTGCCTAATTGTGCAATGGAATCTGGTCATGTAAATAAAATAGGTCGCCACAACGGACATTACAAAAGGCATAACCTGTTAGCTCTCTGAGTAGCTAACTTTTTCATACGATCTCTCAATTTATATGAAATTAGTTCCATCTTGATTTTACGTGTTTCCACTTGAAAACGAAGCCATGCTTTATAAATAGAGACCTTGAGGATTATTCAGTCGATAACATGTGGCAAATATGTAAACAAAATATGCGAGGCGAGTTCTTTCAAATTACAACAAACGCACACCTGCGTTTATTGGATTTTATGAAATAAAGAGCTGATTAATAAGGTATTTACACTTGAGTATCGAACTCCCAGCTAACGCAACCAGTACAAAACACAGCTGGGGCTGTGCTCACTAACTAGGTTAGACATGTGTACATCCGGTTTCGGCAACTTGTCTCCGTGTCGGCATTTTAATGCAAAACAGTTGATTCGGTAACTATTAAAATCAATTGTGCCTGTGAATGATATAGAATACAACTTCATTTGTGCGCTTTTGGTTTCCGTTTAGATGTGTCGGTTTTATTTTATTAACAGCGTTAATAACTTTTCAGCTCAAGCGTCACTGTGATGCAGATCAATCATCATAAAGCCTTGCCCATTCAAGGCACAACGGACATAATTTTTGATTTCTTACACACCAAATATGGGCATTCACTTTTATCTTGACATTGATTTCATGCTCTTCGCCGTTTCTGAATGATAATGAATTGTTTATTGTCACTTATAGCTGTAAACAAACATTTAAAGCGTATAACTTGTAGCTGTAATGAGACTACAAACCCCTGGTGATGCCAGACAATATTGGGCATTCCTCACATGATTGGAGTTGCTTTGTTTCAAATTTGCCATGCTAAGTTATTACTGCCGGCCATAAAGATAAGGCAACCATAAGATGCGTTACATGATGCACGTGTTTATGCATGGCGCACGTGCGTAGTTGCTTTATGTGCGTGTGTAATTGTATGGCACGCCTGAATATTTACGTTGCGCACGTGTGAATGCAAGTCTCGTGTACTTGGTACAAT